AAATCGACCTAAATGGACTCAAATACACGTACTCCGTCACTGTATCACCGCACACGACATTTTTCACATGCTCTCCGCCATCCCACTTTCCAGTCCATCCTTTTTTTACTGAATGAAAAAGTACACAAACCAATCATATATTCTACACATATGTACATAAAGTTCTGACTAAAACGATTGCCCATTGGTCAATATATAATCACTATATCTTCACATTCCATGCGGTAAATTCAAATTAAGTTCTCGTTACGTACAATTAGTTTTATTTAATTCTATTTAAGATTATTTAATAAATATGGAAGAGTTGAAAAATATACGGCAGTTCACTCGAGTAATAAATCCGTCTTTAAGAGTCCATATAGGAAAGCACGACCGGTCGATCTGATTTATATTATTCATAACTGAGAGGTATTTTCAATGCACAACGAAATAAAGGAAAAATTACGGAATAAATGTATTATCTATATTATTCATTATTATGAGTGGTATATCCTCCACGTGCATGTAATGACAGCGAATGAATTATTTAGTTCTTCCTACGCTTGAAAAATATTACGGTTTTTACATAGAAAGGGGTATTTTATTCGCTGCACAATTTTCATTGAGTCTTGACACGCAATGGATAAAACCAATAGAATAATTTAGGTACAGAGCAGGTGCAGTTCACAGATATCACGGAAAAGATGTGGAACGACAACGCCACTCACGCCCTGGGATTTTATAAAAAATTAACTTGGATTTTAGGGATTTGGCCACTGGACAAACGTGATTGGTCATCTATATCTAAAAATTGTGTCGTGATATTGACACTTGTGAGTGTAATTACAAATTAATGACAACCAAAGATGGCTTCCTAAATAATCTCCAAAGTTTGAATTTTCCAAATTCTAAAATGTCTCCGTAACAGAGAGAAATTATGAATTTCATATGACCTTTTCGATTTCTCCATGAGCTTCTTAGTAGCTGCTGATGAATAATTTCGAATAATTAATTGCTCCCCAGTTGATGTTGATCGTGAGTTTGATTGGAAATTGGACAATCAGCGGTAACTGCGCGTCTAAGACCGAATTAATAGATGTAATAACAATAATTGCATGTTCCTTCATTGGAGGAATGCAGATGAGTTTGATCCTAAGACACCGGAGAATTTACAAAAATATAATAACATCAGCTGTTGAAGACTGGACTCGAGTCCACGACAATAAATGTCTCGCTATCATGCAACAATTTGCGAACATTGGGCGAATTTTTGCATTTGTCCAAATGATTGGGGCTTACTTGTCAATCACTCCTGTCATCTTAACGAATCTCCCGGTAATCCATCAAGAACTCCTGGATAATGACACAGTGCCTTTAAAGACCATCCCAGGAGTGCCAAAGTGCTGGATCCCTATCAAAATTTCTCTGCCTGTTTATTACTCTTATCATTTGTCCACTTGCATTGGATTGTTTATTGGAACAACCGTGTACACAGGTTGTACTGTTTTCATGTTTGGATTGGCGATGCATCTGGTTGGACAGCTGGAGTCATTGAATCACAGTCTAGATGATGTTGATCATCTTGAGTCACAGGAGATTGACGATAAATTGGCGAAATTATCGATGCGACACTCTCTTCTTTTGGATTTGGCTAAAGGCTTTCATACTTGTACTAATGTTGTTATCTTCTTGATCCTTGGCTCCAATACATTCATTATTTGTCTCTCTGGTAAGATCATAATTGCCGGTACATTTGGGATAGAAATTAATTTTTTATTATTGCCGTTTATATTTTATTTTTACAGAAGTAATGTTACTCTGGGCATTCAATGCAGGTGACAATCAGACTTCAGTGGACATGATAATTAGAATATCTCTGATGTCCGTCCAAATATTTTTGTACAGTTACATCGGAGAAAAATTTTCCATTCAATCAAGTAAATTGAAATTAACCCTTTACAATTGTCCCTGGTACAAAATTCCACCGAGAGTCGCAAGAAATCTACAATTTATAATGATGCGTAACAATATTCCATTACGACTGACTGCTGGTAAGATCTGCGTCATGGACTTTGAGAATTTTAAAAATATTCTCAAATCGATGTTCTCGTATTTTTCAATACTTCGATTAATATTTCCATCAGAATAACTCCGACTGATTTGCTAATAGTCATCCAATAGAACTAGTTTATTATTATTAGTTTTATAATTCGACTGACTGCCTCTTGGGAAAATAATTCAATCCTCGGGAAAAAATTCTCGTTGCCCTGAAAACTTCTACTTCAATTGAAT